GCAAGTTATTTTACTTCTCTAAACCTCATTTCCTTCTCTTGGACTTTCTGTATCCCCTGTTATTACTTCCTGTCTTCTCTACTGTTGTGAGGCTCTGATTGGATAATAAGAATAGAGGCTATACCATTGGTGTAAAGTTCTGGGCCTCTGAAGGCTGTTAATGATGCTCTTCTCATTATCAGCAAAGCCCTGATGGATGGTGGGTGTGGTGTCCCATAGGAGTTCCATCCTGAGGTAAGGTGCCCCAGGAGGCCTTCCTGAAAAGAGGAACCAGAGAGTTTAAGGGGCCATGGCTCATGCCCAGCCTGGTTCTTCCACCAGGCCTCGAACAGAGACACCAGTGTGGACCAGGTTCAGCAGGTAGGCTGGACTGAGAATGGAGTACACAGAGGTAGGCAGCAGAGAAAGCTGGGGTGGGGAGACAAGGGCAGGAAGGTGGTGCAGGAATCCAGGAAGATGGATTTGGTAGGTGCAAGATTATCCAGACTGGCTGTGCATACATGGGCCGGGAGGTCTTGAGCCAGATACCCTGGCAGGCCAGGACCAGGGATGTGCTCTCAGGCAGGATTCAAAAGGTTATGGCCACGGCTTCCCATAAGAAGGCAAGACTGATGACAGTAGTAATCATTGGAAACACTAGTAAATATTGAGCTTTTATATGCTCCAGGCTCTGGTGTAAGAATTATTTAGGCATTCTCTCCTCAAAGACTCACAAAACCATATGAGGTCAGAGATGAACAAAAAAAGACTCAGGGGGGACAAGGTCACATAGCTGGTAGGTGGGAGCTGGGATTGGAATCCAGTCTTCCCTGACGCCCATGTCCACACACATTTAACAACCAATGATGACAGTGACAGAATGAAGGCAAAGCACCCGGCTTGCAGCAGCGCTCACTAAAAGGGAGAACACTTGCCTTCTCCCTTGTTGTTGTTGTTTGGTACTGTGGAGTGAATTTCCAACTCAGAGTGACCCTATGTGACCCCCATAGGGTTTTCTTGACTGTAATCTTTACGGAAGCAGATTGCCAGTTCTTTCTCCTGCAGAGTCTCTGGGTGGGTTCAAACCTCTAACCTGTCAGTTAGCACCTGAGCACTTAACCGTTGCACCACCAGGGCTCCTCATCCTCTCCCATAGGGGCATAGATAAGTCATCTGTCTCCAAGCCTCCATCCTGACAAACAGAGGAGACACTAACAAAATTGCCCACTGAATTGGAAACACCACAGAGATCTTTTCCTCCAAACCCTCACTGCACAGATGGGAAAACCAAGGCTCAGGTTGCCAGAGTCACAGAGCCAATGAGTGTCAGAGTTGGTTTGGAGCTAAGACTCTTGGTCCCCAGGCCAGAGCTCAGTCCTTTGCAGCAGACTGCCTTCAGATTGACATCTCTGCTCTCACCTCTTACCAACCATGGTGTTGAAAAAAGGACTTTCTTTCTCGGACCCCTCATTTGTTGAAGGGGCAGAGCCCTGCCCTGGCAGGGTTGTATAATGAAATGTAATGATGTGAGATGAGATGACATGACATGAGATGACATGAGATGATATGAGATGACATGAGATGTGGTACATAAAGCTCAGCATCAGCTTGGATATTCAGGTTATTGGTTTTTCTGTCCTTCTCTCTCCCTCACCAGCATTGTGTCTGGCACATAGACAATCTCAACAAGATGGATCTTTTGGGGGCAGGTTCTGTGCCCTGGGAAACAGTGCCCTTTGGTCCCTAAGCACAAGGCTGCATTATTCAGATGTAATATGTAATTCAAAAGAAAACAAGAGCACTAACCTGTGAAAGAGTGTAAGAAAGTCCAGCCAAATTCTGATAGTTCCCATGATGGACGACTGGAATGGTGCTTTGCAATACCAAATGTTAAATTATTTTGGAAAGTATTTTTGGTGGCCTTGCTTTGCTGGCAAGCCAAGCACATGCTTGGTCTGCCTGTTGGACAGTTCAGCACTGTCTGGCAGTGGAAATCCATGTGCAATCTCCCCACCCGGGTCTCAGCATCCGTATCACCACCTGCAAAGCAGTGGGACAGAGGGGGAGAGGGGACTGTACTGGATGGCCTCTAAGGGCCCCTCTGGGTTTGGCCTTCTGAATTTCTGCCTCTCAAATCCCCCCAACTCAGCCTAACCCAGGGACTGTCAGTCCTTGACTACCCCTGAGTACAGCCACGTCCAGGGCAATGTTGTTTGCATCTCTTTGAGTATGGGAAAAACCCAGTGACTGAATCTGTGAGGATGGGGTTCTGGTTAACTGAGGGATAACCCTCTCAATTTGTTACAAAGTAGGTTCAGTCTCTTGTCAAGTTCTGGGACTGCTTCTGGGACATTATTTCACAGGAGCATTCACATTACCAGACACCAATTCCAACTTTAGTAACCACCACACAGAGACTCAGGAAGAAATCTAAACTTTAGGTTTGTCTGATGATATCAACTGAAAAGAAAATAAAAAAACAGAAAGGGAAATAAAATCCTAATATTTTCCCCTTTTGGAAACTTGAACTTCTGGATTCTCCAGGAACCATAGTTCAGGACAAAGAGCCTGGTCTTGGGAATCAAAGACCTAGTTGTAGTCCCCCGGCCAACCAACTGTTTAACCTGGGAAAGCCCCTGTCCTTTCTGTGCTCAGCCTCTGGCCTATGGGAGGAAAATTCACTGGGGTTGGGGAAAAAAAAGTTTTTCCAGTTTTTACCTTAGTGGTTTATGACATGAGAAGTATTTTGTTACAAGTGTGGGACATTACAGGAAAATCATAGGGAAACTGCTCATGGAATCATTGATTAACAAAGCAACAATGGCAATTACAGATGTCAAGATGGACTTGCCCTGATGGTGGCTTAGTCTGAAGGACAAGCCTACAGTAGAGGGTGAATCAGTTCTTTCCCTCAGCTCAAACCCCCAGGTCTGCGGATTGAAAGCACTCACTCATGATCCCTCCTGGGTGGGGTTCTTTTGCCTTTGAGTAGCTACTGCAAGCAGATCTCCAGCTTGTCTTTATCAACAATGATTCCCAAGCCTTCCTATGGCACTGTGGCTCCTTCTGACCTGGTACTAGGGAAGAATGCTGGGCAGTGGGCATAAAATGGTTAAACAGGCATATCTGCTGAGCTGCAGGAGCCAGTGGGGAGGAAAATTCAAGGGAATTACACAAAGACTATCTTGGATTCTCCATTGCTGCCCAAATATGGGAGAATCCATTATCAATTCAGATCCCAATCAGGAATGACTCTTCCTACCAAGGGCATTTTTAGTGTCACTCCCTTCACTGACAAAAAGCCCCACACCCAGAGACTGGATAGAGAGAACTCAACTTAGATGGAGACAGGCAGAGCCACTGCACCAAGCAAACAAGAGAGAAAGGAGTCGTTCCTGGTTAATAATCATGGTGAGCAGATAGCATGTTGCAGGGAACCTTGGAGAAATCAGTCCTCCCTAGCAACATGGCGTCACTTTTTAAAAACTTAAAGCAAATGCTAAAAGAGACAGGAGCTTAGGGACCTGGTTTAAGAGGACTGACATCCCAAAAGGACAGTTTGGGACACAGAAAAGAGTACCAGCAGAAGTTCTTCTGCAGCACTTCTTACAGTTGCAATGAAATAATTATGTGACTCTTTGCTTAATGTCGTTCTATAACACTAGAATTTCAGCTCAATGAAGGTAGAGACCTTCTCTGTCTTGTTCAGCTTCACTATTATATACACAGCACATAACATATGGCTTTGTATATTGTACGTACTTTTAACATATTTGATGAAAAAAGGGAAGAAGGAATTCTGACACAGGATGAAGAATTCAGGGTCAGGATGGAGCCCATCATCCGTCCTCTAGAGTTGGTTGTAAATAATCGTGGCTACATTAATTATACAACAATCATTATGTAATTCTCATTCCAACCTCCATGTTGTTCTGGTTTCTAGATGCTCCTGCTATCCACCCTTGGGTTTTAATTCACCTGCTTTAATTCACCATGGAGGCTATAACCTGTAATGGATCAGTGGACTCCTTGCCTATCTTCTACCTTATGGGTATCCCCTCTCTGCCAAAATCCCTCTTACTGCCTATCTTCTTTGTCTTTCTCCTCCTCTACCTGCTCATTCTGGTGGGTAATGCCCTGATCTTGCTGGCCATGGTGGAGGAGCCTAGCCTCCACAAGCCCATGTACTTCTTCCTAACTAACCTCTCTAACTTGGACCTCCTTTTCACCACAACCACCATCCCCAAGATATTGTCCCTGCTCCTACTTGGGGACCACTTCCTCAGCTTCCCTGCCTGCTTCCTGCAGATGTACCTCTTCCACAGCTTCTCCTGCTCAAAAGCCTTCATTCTGGTGGTCATGGCCTATGTCCGCTATGTGGCTATCTGCTGCCCACTACACTACCCTGTCCACATGACCCCACAGACCAACGTTGCACTGGCAGCCAGTTCCTGGTTAATTGCCCTCCTCCTGCCCATCCCAGCAGTTGTACAGACCTCCCAGATGGCTTTTGACAACACTGGCCACATCTATCACTGCTTCTGTGACCACCTGGCTGTGGTCCAGGCCTCTTGCTCTGATACCATGCCCCAAACCTTAATGGGCTTTTGCATCGCCATGGTGGTGTCCTTCCTTCCCCTTCTCCTGCTGCTTCTTTCCTATGCCTGCATCCTGGCCTCAGTACTATGCATGAACTCCCAAGAAGGACACTCAAAAGCCTTCTCCACCTGCAGCTCCCACCTCATGGTGGTCGGCACCTACTACTCATCCATTGCCATAGCCTACGTGTCCTACAAGGCTGACCTGCCCCTCTACTTCCACATCATGGGCAATGTGGTGTATGCTATTCTTACACCTGTTCTCAACCCTCTCATCTACACCCTGTGAAACAAGGATGTTAAAGCAGCCATCACCAAAATGGCATATCCCCAGGACCTAAAGCATCCTGGGAAACCCTGATTCATAGGTGTAACTTGATCTGCTCACAGACACCCATAACAATAGAAGGAAATGTGGAAAATTCAGGGAGCTAGGTAGTTACGTTTCTATTAATTCAAAACAATTTTGATTCTCAGAGATTCCAAGTACTTCACTAGCAAGAAATTCAGTCTTTTTCCCTTGGGTCTCTTCAATACTTTTGAAGATCTTCTAGATTGCTGACACATAGTTGTGAATCAGTCTTGCCCTTTTTGCTGTCTATTGGTGGACTGGCAGCTTAGAAACACCTCTCAAGGAAAAAGTCTGAAACTGATACCATCTCAATCCTTGTTGCCTGAAAATTCACTGCCCCGTCAACATTTCAAGGGTCCCTGGTGGCACAGTGGTTAAGCACTCAGCTGCTAACTGAAAGGTCAGTGGTTCAAACCCACCAGCCGCTCCTCGGGAGAAAGATGTGGCATTCGGCTTCCATAAAGATTTATAGCCTTAGAAACCCTACAGGGAAGTTCAACTCTGTCCTACAGGGTCACTATGAGTTGGAATAGACTCGACAGCAGTGTGCTTGGTTTCGGTTTTGGTCAACATTTCAGTGCTACTCACACAGGAAATTTCCTCTGCTATTCAGACCCTCATGGAGTCATCAAAAAAGAGTATACCCTCTCTCTACCTTATGCTCAGGCAAAGGGCGTCCTTTAACAAACCTGTGTGGTCCCCAAAGCATTACACCTCTTTTAATTTCAGCCACACTGTAGTTTCCCCATCTGTGACACTGGGTGGCTAAGTAAGGAAGTTTCCCCTTATCAGTATGTTGTGCACAGGGTCACCACTCTTTCTCAAAATATAGTCCCAGGTATTCCTTTTTCTGACCTTAGCAACTAGCCTAGGTGCCTTATTCCGTTCCCCTATGGCAGATTTCCTCTTGAAGACCTGTCAGGTTTGTCCAGCCAGGGACAATGTAGAATAGTGAAAAGTGTTTGAGGAGAACCTAAGTGACATATCTTCATCTCTGCCTCTTCGCAGATATTCCCATTCCAATTTCTAGGGTCTCGGTTATTGCCGATCAAGGCATTAACTTTAACCATCTTTCCATTTTATAAAA